AACACAAACTTACTTCGGACGTCTGGTTAGAGGGGGAGTTTGCCTCGGAAAGCCGGTTTGATTTGCATACCTTGCCGTTAACTGCTGAAACATGCACACAGTCACACCATCTAATTTCTCCATACACATGTCCCAAAACACTTTTGTTTTATTGGTAGCAGTGCTTCCTGCCCCATGAAGCGCTGCGTACATGTTTTGCTTGCATAACTATAATCTGAAGAGCACATTGCCAGGAGCTCCACGTACCACTTCCAGAAGATTCCGTAGATTCAGTGGACTCTTGATCGCCACAGGCCGCATGTGAACCATTCGCTAAAGCCCTTCTGAACAGCACCACATAAGACTAGTTGACGCCAATATTGTGGAGAATAGCGCTTGCCCTGTGCTGAAGTGCAGCAACAGGTCCTTGCTCAAGTAAAGAGCTATCACAGTGAACAGAACATAATTGTGGAAATCAGCGCATTGACCTGGATGTCACTCTGGCATAGCCAGGCTGCTTACCCACAGTACGGCTAAACGGTCATTAAGCCAAAATAAACAAGGCTCTATGTGCTGTCTGCTGCCTAGTGAGGGCTGGATATCGTCATTTCATGTATACAAACAGGGTCTTACTGCGCGAGCGCTCTGTTTTCTTTTCTGACGGCATCTAGTTCCTGGCAAATCTGAGCAACGAAAGCCAGGATATATCACACTGAATACATTGGCTGTTTTTCCAGAGTCTCGGAGTCACTGGAAGTAGAGTGGAGTGATGGTTGTTCGTTGATGGTTGTTCGCTGCAGTTACCTCTTCGAAGGCGCTTTGCAGAATGTCAATCTTCGAAGACAGTTCTGCGATTCAAGCAACAGCAGCAAACCAGAGCAGCTGAACACCTCCAAAGAATTTGCTACAAACTTGGGAATTTCAGATGACAACCAGCGCGAAACACTCGACATTCCCGCGATTTCTCTGCTCCTGTTATTGGGGGTTTCAGAAGAAACATGAATTGTCGAAACCCTCCCATCTCGAAACGCCCGATCCGGGTAGAGATCAAACATTGTTTTCACTGCGTGAAACGAAACTTGAATAAGCGCTTTCACTGCTCACCGTCTTGCATCTCTAAAACATCAGAAGTTTCCGCCTCCGCGTCAATCATAGCCTGTGTTTGCACCTGCAGAGAAAGTTGCAACTCACCACCAGACAGATTTCAGAGTATACCTTCAGAGTAGAAGGAGAAAAAATTTCTTATTCTCGTATTTCTAGATGCAGGAAAAGAAGTTCAGTAATATTCTACCGAAAGGTCGTACCAGCAAAGCTTTGAAAAAGAGCTCCGCCTGGAACTGCAGATGCATAGACAGAGTTTGCAGAAAAGAGAACCGCATGAGTGCTGCTTGCCGCCTGGTGGTTCAAAAGGAGAAACAGCTACCTGGCTAATCCTTAACCGCTGCTGAGACGCGAGACCCACCTTGCTCCCACTCTGCGTATCGCCCGCGTCTATGGGCTGGATGCCGGAAATTCCGTTTTCTTCTTCCTTCACCCCATTCTCCCTTTCCTCAGAAACGGGAATTTCCGAGCATCTGTCCTCTACGTCTTCCCCATCATCCGAGCTCCTCTCCTTGCTCTGTTGCTCTGAGAGGCTCTGTGGCTCACTATCTGTGGAGGCGGAGGCGACGGGGCCAGGAACACGCGTTGAGGCCGAGCCGTCTGCGTTTCCCGCAGGTTTCAGCCGGCAGTTTCTGCTCAGTCGCCAGCCATTTGACCCGAGGTAGGCCGCTGCGTCTGCGAGCAGAGCCTTGGAACTCCCAGCTGGCCGTGTTTCACTGTGGCCTTGCAAGCCCCCACTGTCCTCAGCAGTGGCATCTACAGGGGTTACTCCTGTTTCTAATACCTCTGGTTCGGTTTCATTTGTTTTATTGGCTACAGGATTCACTTCAGATGCCGTTGGTGGCTGCTGGTGACGCACTCTGCGCGAAACCCCATCACCAGTGGATTGACTCGTGTGTAGATCTGCAACGCTTGCTGCAGGCTGCATGGGGGCCTCCTTCATGCCAGCAGCAGTTATACGTTTCTCCTGAGTTGTTTCATTCGCTGATGAAAGCTGAATTTCACTCTGCTGAGGTCCCTCAAGGGAAACATCTGCAGTCGGTTGCGAGCCAGTAACCTCCTCGTCCGCTGACGAGCCGTTGCTGCGTTGCTTTGCTGTTTCCTCCTCATTTGTTTTTGAGTCTTTAGTGCAGAGATACACCGTTTTGGGTTTCCTGTTGCAGTCAGCAGAAGAACCTTGAGGCGTATTCTCCGCATGCACAGCGGGGAGGCAGAAGGAAACTCCTCCTGGCTTGGGTGAGGGGGTTGCTGGGTTGCTGATGCCGTTGCTGCTGCTCGTTGCAGCAGCACCGGATGAAGAAACTCGAGACGCAACTATGGCTTTAGACAACTGAAACTTTTCCTTCAGCACAAAAGATAAATCCGACTCGCGCTGCGCGACAGCACCTTCAAGCGAACGAATCAAATCCTCACGATGACGCAAAACACCCTCCAGTTCTCTCAACTGAAACCACACCAAACATAAACCCATGCAAATATATATATATATATATACATATATATATATATATATATATATATATATATACAACTCCTACTAAGGATGTAACTAAGGGGATCGAATGCAGCTAAAGGAAAACATTGCTTTCGTTTGTGTGCAGTGGTCGTCCATACAGAATGCGCTTGAAACAGAATTTGCATTACCTTTTTTTCAGATATCGAGGCCGTTGATCCTGTTGAGTGAACACCCGGATGTTTGTGGCGTAGAATTGTTCTGCTGCTCGGTGCCTGTGTGGTGCCGTCTCTGCAACGCAGACGCCCGAAATGCTGAAATAAGCGGCTAGGTTAGACTGAGAGCCAACTCGCTTACCACCTTCACAGAGGTTTGGGGGTCGAGGTGACAGCAGCGGCAGCAGAAACAAGAGCAAAAGAAACAAGAACAGAAGCAATAGCAGCAGCAGCAGTAGGAGCAGCAGTCTGCCTGTTGTTGAAATACGGGTATGAAGGCGACAGACGATTGCTTGCTTTCAAAAGTTTTCAGCTTCTCCTTGACACCACCCGCTAGCCCCTGAACAGATACAGGAGAAGATGAAACCTGTATATTGCTTTCTTGTGATTCTCTGGGGCCACCGGATCTCAATGGAGTTTTCTCGGCCTCCGCCGGGTCTGCTGTGTGCTGCCGCAGCATATTGAACTG